CGGGGCAGTCGCAAGTCTATGCAGAGGCACCTTAATGCGTACTGGGAGGGGACTCGGTTTCCCATAGCTGTCTCCCTGCTGCTGCCCACCGACACCCTCCCCCGCAAAGCCACCTTGGCTGAGCAGGCTTCCAAGTGCTCTTCTCCCTGGCAGGGGTGGGCAGCTTCTCACTGAAGTTTAGCACCTGGCGGGGCCTGGCCTCAGACCACCTGTGGCTACCTTCTGCTGTGTCTTCTTCATCTCTGGGTGCCATCTGAGCTCAAGCTCAGGCATCTTGGAGGCATCCTCCTGCTGCTCAGTGGGCATCTCCACCCAGCCCAGTGCTGTCCACCACCGGCCTCTCCCGTAGTCTCCCGTGGGAATTTGCCCTGCAGCAGAGTGTCTGGCGCAGGCTGGTGGGTGTGGCCCGCAGACTCACATAGGCCTCACCCTGTCATTAGCAGGCAGTGTTTTTCCCTCCCAAACCAGGGCACAGACCCAGATTCTGGGTCAGTGTCTGCTACCTGGCTCTCGGCTTCCACCACGGCGGGACTACTGCCCTCCCCTCAGCCCGTCCTCTGTCAGGGGTACATTCTCATCTGCACCTCTCAGTGAACGGAGCCCAAGGGGGAGGCCTCTCGCCTCATCTGGTCACACAGCGTATCTGACCAGATGCAGTACGACAGACAGACCTGCCTCTCTGGGTGAGGGAAGGTGGCAGCTCAGGGCCTCGTTCAGTGGCTCTTCCTGCTCCTGGCCGCTCTGGGGCCCCATGTCCCCAAGGCCTGGCTGGTGTGGTCTGTGAGAGCATCTGGATGTGGCTGAAGCCACGCCCGAGAAACAGCCAGTGTCACCTCTTTTCTAGAAGGCTTCCCTGGGTCACGCGCTCCATATAGCTTTGGGGATGACAGTCATGGCACTGCTCAAAGCAGCATCCCAAAGTCAGGAGGGACACTGCCCACAGATCTTGGTGCTATGGTCGTATGATGCCTGCCGTGAAACACCACGGAGCGGGAAGCACGATTCAATGCTCTTGCTGCTCGTTAGAGCTGACGGAAAAGGCAATGAACTTGGTACATCGGGCCCATCGCTCTCCCATTCCAGTATCAGGGGGTCAGAAAGCTTCTCAGACATCAGCACCGCTCCTCTCTCTGAAAACCTAAAGATAAGAATTTCATTTTATTTTTAACCTTTTAAAAATTCATTCTAAAGTCATACCTGTTTCTTCAAGACAACTGAGAAAATACAGAAAAGTAAGGGAAGAAAATCAATCATTGTCTCATTACTCCACACAGCAAATAGGCTATCGGAAAACAATTTGTAATTCTTTTGAATGATTACAAACTTTGATGTGAATTTGTGACTCCTGTTACACCTAAGAGAAACTACGTATTTAATTGTCTATTCATCTCTTTTCGGTTCCCTTCCTCAAAAGGTCTCCGTGTGAGCTAAGGTAATAGAGCTGACAACTGTAGAGTACTTGAAAAAGAGCAAACGAAAGAAATGGAGGCTAAAGGGAAAGCCCCCGGGAAAGCCAGCTCTTATCCTTTTCCCATAGATCACGGTGGCCATGGTTGTGTTGAATATTTAATGTCAGGACTACAGGCTGATCGACCTGCAGACCCATAATGGTTAAGAAATATGGTCGTTGCAAAAGATATAAATGGACTTCATTAGGGAAGCCACCGCCCAGCAGGTGTGGTCTACATATCACACTGCTGCCTTGGGTATCGAGGCAAAGTCCCCAGGGAGGCAGTGTGGCCACTGCTACTGAGCCTCCATCACCTGCCCACTCAGACCAGCTAATTTCATCGGCCTTGGTTTACTTTTCCAAGAGGCCATGGAAGTGTAACTAATAAAGCAAGAAAAGCAGACCCGCCTGGCTGGCTCCGTGGACTTCTTCTGAATGTGCTGTGAGTAGAGTATCTTCGCTTTGAAAAAGCCAGATGCTTCCTTTCTCTTCCATGTGAAGTTTGCTTGAGATTGCAAAAGGATACAGCTCAGTCCCAGGGTGGGCTCTGGAAGAGAATTCTGGAGGAGTTTCAAATCGGAGAAATCCCTCTCTTGAAGAGTGAGGCCCTGATTCATTTTCATGGATGTCTAATTTTCATGAGTTCTACCTCCAATGCTTTTCTGGAGGAGAATCCTTAGTGGGTGTGGGGATGGGGTTGTCTTAGGAGATAAGGGGACCCCTCCAAGTCAGGTCTGCCCATAGCCTGTGGTCTGGCTATAGTCAGCCTTGTCTGTGAGCTGTTTGTGTATTTTATCTCTCCCCGAGGATGGAGGCTGCATCCATCAAGTTACTATTTCATGGAGGAAGTGATACCAAGAAACCCATGTCATGCATTTTTGCGGAATCCCCTTAAGGAATTGGATTCTCACTCTGATCCATCAAAATGCATGTTTTGACCTCCGACAGCTCCTTTGTCCACTCTGGGCCTCTGTTTCTCCTTTATAGCACGAGTGGCCCCAAAGTTGATGATTGCTCAACCTTTCCAACCCCCATATTCCCTCATCCTAGAAAGAAGCACCGAAGGCAGGAAGAACAGACCAGGCGGAGAGCTGGAAAGTACTTGAAGGTTTGGAGAAGTCTGTGGGGCTGTCTGGGGATGCTGATTCTCCGGGGAGAACTCCGTGTTTGGGTTCCAAAGGAGTCTGCAAGTCAGTCAGCAGCATCAGTGTGGACCGACCCTTGGGCATCGCTCAGAGCCCCAGTGCCTTGAGCATAGTGAAGGCTCAAGCTATTTCTTAAAATAATGAAGGCAGAGGTCTCCAGGGCAAATTGAAAGGAGAGGTGATGGACTTGTGCTCCATCTTCTTTGTTTCCCAGGAAGGAGGATAGAGTATATTGCAGTGGTCATTAGATTTCCTTCATGGGTCTCTACCTTCCGCCAGGGGAGGGAGTATGCCTTGCCATCACTTTGTCATGTGCTTTAAAAAATGATGACTTCTAATAGAGCGATCACTTCTAAACAATATCGATCGCTTAAAATAGGCGGACCACAGACCCACCTGGGATGTCCCCTCAAGTCCTGCACTTTGGTGCCAGTCTTTGAATGGCCGGAGCACGTCATCGGGAAGGGCCCTCACATCCCAAGGGAGGGCACTGAGCTTACCTGAGTCCTGTGCACTCTGTGGGGAACTCTGGAAAGGACTGGAGGAAAGCTGGGGTCTCAGAGGGCCTGGGAGTCCTCAGGGCAGGACACTTGTGTCCGGCCAGTGCAGGAAGAGGCCCCTCAGTGAGAAGGGACATTCTGGCTGGCTCAAGCCACCGAGGATGGGGACTCATCCAAAACATCCTAAACTGTTTAGTCTCATCGGCCTGAGGATGGGCACCACATAAGCTTCTTCTTGTGGTCACTTCTGTCCCAGGGAAGAGAGATGGCATAGCAAACTGTCAGAAGGGAGATGGCCTGGGGTGGGTTGGGGAGGTCTCTGCCTTCTGAAGTAAGTGGTTCCAAACCACCCCGCATTGACTGTTTCTTTTGTAACCGGCGTGTGGTCTATTTGTTGGTGTATTGTTTTCCCAAAGTACTGGTGATAACAAATGTGAAAATACTCCATGAAGTTAAATGTTAAATGTGCCGTCACTTCTCACTTTCCCATGCCTTCGTTGTTTGGATTGGCTGATCCCAACTACTAAGCTGATTAGGATGGTGTGGGAGGTGAGAACGGGCCAGCTGCCCACCCGCGAGCCCTCCCACGAGCAACGCCTTTGTGCACAGACCCAAGGCGCCTGAGCCCTTGTCCAGGGGGCCCCTGGTTCAGTCCTGGTTTGGATCTGTCTTTAGGATGAATGACTCATGAGTCAGGCCCATGCTATTTTGTCTGTTCATAAGAGAAGGAACTTATTTTCCCAAATGAATGGGGAATTGGGGCCTAGGATGGTCAGAGGAGAATTAAAGTTCTGATGCTGGCTTCATCCGCCCCATGTGTAACCCACCAGCCTCAGTTTCCGTCTTGTTCATTTTCTTCTTTATTTTGTTTACTTATATTATCTAGTGCGACAACTGGCCTTTCCCCCGCCACCCCGCCTCTCTCTCTCTCTCTCTCTCTCTCTCTCTCCCTCTCTCCCGCTCGGACGCCTCAGAGTTAAGAGGCTGGCGTGTTCTCAGGGAAAACGGTTGGCTGATCTGACTTTGGTTACACTCTCATTTCTTTACTCATCAGTGTGGTAGGGGATGAAGTGTTATATCATGGCCTCGCCTGGGTCACATGCCCACACTCTGGGGTTTTCCTATTGTGGTCCAGTGGAGTAGAGGGAAAAGTTCCTCCAAGGACTCGAGATTCTGTCACCATAAGATGGAGAAGATGGGTACAAAAATGAAAGCTGTTTTCTATACTCGGGCTCTCGTTTATGACATGGGGACCATCATTTCTAGTCCCCGGGGTGATCGAAAAGGTTAACTGCTAAAATGGACGTCGAAACACTTATAAACCACTGTGCGCGGCACACGCTGGTCACTGTATTACTTCTTTCATCTGGTCTTGCTTGTGGGGAAGATGGCAGCAATGGGTTTGCTGCTGCTGCTGCTGTTGTGGTGTTTGTTGTTGTTGTTGTTGCTGTTGTTTTCCACTGACCTCAAGTCTACTACTCCACAGGACAATTTCCAAGGAAAATGAACCGCACACTGGGCCTGGGCCTGGTTCTGGCTGGCCTCCTCGCTGTAGAAGGTCTTCTGAAGCCCAACTTTTCTCCAAAGGATCATGGAGCTCTGAGCCAGCCCCAAGAGAGGAAGGGCAGGAACACAGCCCAGGAGCTTGCAAGGCGGAATGCAGACTTTGGCTTCAAGCTGTACAAGAAGCTGGCCTCCACCGGCCGCAGCAAGAACATCTTCTTCTCCCCCCTGAGCATTTCTACGGCTTTCTCCATGCTATGTCTGGGTGCCGAGGACTCCACACTGGCAGAGATCAAACACGGCCTCAACTTCAAGAATGTGCCGGAGAAAGACCTCCATGAGGGCTTCCATTACCTCATCCAGAGGCTGAACCAGGGGAACCAGAATCTCGAGCTGAGCCTTGGGAACACCTTGTTCATCGACCAGAGGCTGCAACCGGAGAAGAGATTTCTCACAGAGGCCAAGAACCTGTACGATGCAGACACTGTCCCCGCCAACTTCCGGAACTTAGAAAATACTGAGAAGCAAATCAATGACTATATCAGTCAGAAAACCCGGGGGAAAATTAACAACCTGATCAATAATATAGATCCTGGCACGGTGATGGTCCTCATAAACTGTATTTTCTTTCGAGGTAAGGCTTGGAAAAGGATGTGTTGGCATAGGAAAGATAGTGTGACCTGGAGACTTGGATTAAAAACCTGGGTTGGCCACTTGCTTGCTCTGGGACCTCGAATTCATAAGTAATCTCTCAGAGCCTCACTTTTTCTATCCGCAAAATGAGTACCTTGATATATAACTCATAGGGCAGTTGTTGGGATTCAAAGTGAAAATGTATGCAAAACGAACTTCGTGAAGTGTAAATTACTCTCCATATGTGCATTTTCCTTGTTACCGATTATACTCACACAACGTCAGCTATAGACAGTTACAGTGACAGCCTTCTCCTCATTTCTTAGATGAGGAAAGTGAAATTCAGAGGAACAAAGCCAGTCGCTTACAAAGCCAGTCAATGAAACTCACTTCTTTTGGCGCAAGGGCTGTGCGCCTTCCCTCACTTCACGTAGATGCCCAGGGTGGTGATATTGTTGATGAGGGCGATGATGATCACTTTAGTGGGGGGCCTCGGTCTCCTATCAGACCTTGTAGATTGCCAGTGTGAGGGTGGGAGACCGAAAAAGAAGGTGGAAGAGTATTCCCAAACCCGAGCACCGTCCCCCACACTATACACATCGACTCACACACCGCACGCGTACACAAAGGTTGACCAACATAGGGGAGCATCAGAGGCCAACAGCCCTCAGGCCAGGCGAGATTACTGCTGAGCTGTCAGCAACACAGTGCTGTTTATGGAAGTTCAGCTCTCCTAAAATTCGCAAAAAGAATGATGGCAGTAGAAGAAAACAAAAAGAGTGATAATAGTTAGACTGAAATCTCAGTCTTTCCAAAGCAGAGAGAGAAAGGAGAATCTGGAATTTCTCAAAGTCCTTACATCTCCTGGATTGGAACAAGAATGATGGCAACAAGTATGCTGATGATGACTAGCATCTATTCAGCACTCACTAGACACAGTCATGAGGCTGTGTTCGCTTTTCCCAGTCTCACAGCAGCCCAGTGAGGTGCCCATCAATATCCCCCTTCTGCAAATGAGGACACTGAAGCCCAGGGAGATTAAGACTCTTGCCCAAAGTTATCCTTCTAAAACAGTAAAGCTAGAATTTGAACTCAGGGACTTCACCCTCAGAATCCTATACTGGGGGCTCTGAAGGTAGTCAGTGTGGAAAGATCCAGGTCTGAGTTTATGCCCAGTGGCATCAAAGAGTCTTCAGGATAGAAAAAGAGGGGTCCAAACACCCAGCCTCGGGAGTTCGCTGCTCTCCAGCAGGCTCCCAAGGGCAGCCTGTTTCATTTTTTCCCTTAGTCCCACATGAGAGTGGCATCTCGAGGGCTGACTTAGAATAGAGTTGAGCATTTTCACTCACATCAGACCCAGAGTGGTGGTTAGGACACTCACGTCGCTTTGTCCTTCTTCAATCTTAAGCCAAATGGCAACATGAATTTGATCCAAAAGCAACTAAAGAGAAAGATTTCATTCTGGATGGAAACAAGCCCGTGAAGGTGCCCATGATGTTTCGTGGGGGCATATATTCCATCGGCCATGATGACCAGCTCTCCTGCACTGTCCTGGAGATGCCCTACCAAAACAACATGACGGCCATCTTCATTCTTCCCGATGAGGGCAAAATGAAGCAAGTGGAGGAGGCCTTGGGATTGGACACTTTTGACAGATGGAAAAAATTAATCACGCGCAGGTAAGGAGGGCGCCTGGTATAAGCAGCTCCTTCCTCCTCCCTTTCCTCCCACTCTCTTTACTTCTTCGATCCCACATGCGCCGAGCTCTTACCTGTCTCTATCTCCAAGTTATTTCTGACCATTTCCCACAAGGCTGCAGCTCTGGCGCTGGCAATGGTGCTTCATGTGCCCCTCGCCAAGCCCCTCTGCAGTCGAGACCACCACGAGGGTACCGCCAACCACACACAAATATTCCTGAAGGACAGTCATCCTCTCTCTGGTTTTAGGAGATGACCCGCACTCCTCCCTTTGCTCCTTACCCAAGTGAAGGATAGGCCCTGTGAGATTTCCTGCAGGCTAGCACAGGTCTTCCAGAGTCTCCTCCTAGCGAACTCCCGGTCTGCCTCCCACACCATGTACGACTTCCCCATGTCAAATTCATGTTGCCATTTGGCTTAAGCATGTCGTGCGTCAGGCCGGGCCTCCCAGCTACAGCACAGGTCTTCCAGAGTCTCCTCCTAGCGAACTCCTGGTCTGCCTCCCACACCATGTACGACTTCCCCCAGCATGTCGTGCGTCAGGCCGGGCCTCCCAGCTAGGGGCACCATGGAGAGGATAGTTCTCTTCACTGCAGACAAGGTCCTGCCTCCGCGGTTGCTTTGGCCCCAGGATGACTGAGAGCAGTGATGTCCACCCCTTCATGGGAAACCTCATATCCTCTTGCAGGAAATACTCTTGTCCATGGTTCCCAGTGGGGAAACTGCATTTTCTCAGACCACAATGAGCCAACGTTCCGACCTTCTGAGCTCATGCAGTCTGGAGGACAACGTCAAGTCTAGACCATCCCACTGGTCCTTAATGGGGGAGAAGAGGGGGAAGAACTCTTCCCATGTGTTCTTTATGCCCCTCTCCAGGCCGGAAGGCCTAGGACAAGAAGAGAAAACTCACCCTTTCCCCAGGAGAAGTGACCAAGGCAGCAGACACACTCCTTAAAGACACACCCCAGCCCACATGTGCCCGGCAGACTTGGGAGTTATGGATGGCTTGAGCCTGGACTCTGCAGAGAAGACACTCCTGCTTTGTATTTGGATAACTAGAAGCCTGCCGTGGTGGATTCCCCAGAGGAAAGGCTCAGTTTTCCCAAAGGCAAACAGAAAGCTCATCGTTAGTGACTTTGAAATATCCATTTTCCCATTTAAAATTTTAAGGGTCCACTCCCGGCCTGGGTACCGCATCGCATCTTTACTTAGTCATTGTGATATGTAGCCGCCTTACAGTATCGGACCCACGTTTTCTGCTTCCCCACTTAAGCATGAACTAAAGCTGCTCTCCCCAGGCACTGGATCCTACCTCCCTCATTGTCAGGAATATCACCCTAGCGACTGTCTTTCCTTCCCCGCATCAACAGATGTGTTCGCTCTCTCCTGAAATAACAGCAGCTGCGTATCTCATCCGATACGCAGCTGCTGTTATTTCTCCCATCATAAAACAATCTTCTCCTGACCCCGCCTTCCCCATTATTGCTCCTTTTTCTGCTCCCCTTTGCAGTTACATACCTTGAAGCCGACCGCCTCGGTCACCTTTCGGCTGCATCTGGGGAAAGTTGTTTAACTTCTCTACGCTTCGGTTTCCTTTTCTATACAATGAGGACAAGTAGGGTACCCACCCCAAGGGATGCCTGTGAGGCCTGAAAGTGCCTCATTCACTGTCAGTCCCAGCGCCTGCCCTGGAAAAGGGGAAAACCTGTCTGCTCACCTGTGTCACTTCTCACTCCCCAGGGTTGTAGATGTGTCCTTGCCCAGGTTCTCCATCACTGGTACTTACAACCTGAAGAAGACACTCTCCCATCTGGGTATCATCAAAATCTTTGAGGAGCATGGCGATCTTAGCAGGATTGTCCCTCATCAAAGCCTCAAAGTGGGACAGGTAAGCCTGCCTGGCCTTGGCGCTGCTCTGGCCAGCAAAGAGAGCCTTCGCACAGCCCCGGGCCAGAGCGGCTGTCACAGGAGCCGTACGAGCCAGAATTCCACCCACCAGTCAGGCCAAGCGCCTACCAGCCATGTGATTCGAAGTGAATCACGAACCTTCCCAGGCCTCATATTTTCAGTCCTTAAAACTGGAACCAATCTCTTGGCGCTGTTTTGGAAGTCGATTCAGTGCCACAAACGATTGACCAAGGTCGGAACATTCATCAGGTCTAGAACGGGTCTATGTCTGACTCCGACTCTCTCTCAAAGGCCTCACTGCCTGTTAGGAATAAGTCATAAAGATGGCCTATGTGGTCAAGAGATGAGCAAGCAAAGGGCCTGTGGTGTCCCTGAGCACCTGCCTGTTGGGGGAAAATTGGGATAGGGTCCCCAGATTTAACAGATATAATACAGCACATCCAGTTAAATTCAAATCTCAGAACAGCAATGATTCTTTTTTTTTCGTATAAGTATGTCTCAAAAATTTCATGGGATATAGTTACACTAAAAAAAATACATTGTTTATTTGAATCCATATGTAACTGGGCATCACCTATTTTATCTGGCAACCCTCTTTTTCAGTGAAAAGGGTGTTGAGGTGGGAAAGATTTCAACCAGCAGAGTTGGGTGTTGGGAGAATCATCCAGTGGGGGAGCAGCACAGCCAAGTAGTGGGTGGTGGGGGCCGTCTGGCGCCGAGCGTGATGGTCAGGCCCACGTGGGGGGATCCACATTGCCAAGCTGAGCGAACGGTCGACATTGAATCAGATTTATTTCCCAGTTTGCAAGAGAAAGACATACAGTTAATAGAATTTTCTCGCTTTTAAGTTTTCCTGCCACAGACTTCCTATCAACATTCAATGTCAGCCACCTCTTTTCTGTAGGCCTTTACTGAGTTCAATGGTTTGTCCCCTTCTGCAAGTAAGTGTGCTGATAGCTGGGATTCTAGATGTGAGCGATGGCTACTGGCCTGCTGGAAAGTTGTTAGGATTTTGAAGAATGGAATGTGTCAGTATTTCACAGAAGCCCATCGATTCCCCAGTGCCAATCACCCACTCAGAAATGCTGACGGTGTCAGGGCGGGTGCGGGGTCCACGTCATCTCCAACAGCTGCCCTGGAATCTGGCTCCCTCTTAACCACCTGCCAACCACCCACCAGGCAGATAAAAGGAGTGTGGAGGAGGCCGGAGGCCTCGGGGCAAGATGCTGCCAACACTTCCACGCCTCCCTGTAATTCCTCACGAGATAGCAAACCCCACTCCATCCTGCATAGCTGATGCTCCCTGCGCATCATTATCTCTTTCAGGCTGCATCTGCTTCTCAGTGATGACAGATGACAGCGGCAGCCCTGCGGAGGCTGGCGCCAGCTAAGCTACTGCTGTGCTGGGCAACTTTGGCTGACACTCTCCCTCTCTGAGCCTCTCACTGTCCTCGGCTCACACATGGTCTCTGAGTGGCCTGGCAAGCAGTGACCTTGCTCTTGGTTCCCACAGGCGGTGCACAAGGCTAAGCTGAAGATGGACGAGAAGGGCACAGAGGGGGCCGCGGGCTCTGGGATGCAGACGCTGCCCATGGAGAGGCCATTAACCTTCAAGGTGAACAAACCCTTCCTGCTGGCGATTACAGAGAACATCACGTCGACCATCCTCTTCATAGGAAGGATTGCTGACCCTGCTGGGACATAAGGAGGATTCCCGTTTGCCGCAGACCTTGACCGTGGCCTGGGGCTGGGAACATTTCATCTCCCTGGGACGGAGACCACTGGGACATTCCAATACCACGTTGTCGTCGTTGTGTGATCCCGAGACCAAACGAGAGCACGCTGGCTCTCAGGGCTTCTGCGCTTAGCCCTCTCCCCACCCATTTAAATGCTGAGATTAGACACCCCGCCCCCCACGCCCACTTGTCTGGCAGTGATTTCTCTCCCCTTGGCAGGCAGAGGAGTTGCGTGATTTAATAAACATCCTCGCAGGTCTGCTGACTCTTGGTGGGTAATTTGAGGAAGCTGTGATCCAAAGCAAGTACCCGCACTTCAGAGAGAGACTTGGGTTCAGCTCTTAGTGACAAAGTGTCTTTGGGAAAGCCACATGCTTTCCCTGAGCCTCTCTTTCAGTATTTCTAGATAAGGACCATGATATTTGCCTCAGGGGCTCTAAGAAAGCTAGCACACTGCTGTAGAAAAGTTAGCTCGCTTTTGTGAGCCCTCGGCCTTGGGTCTTTGACGTGTGAGCTCCACATAGAAGCTCTGGGCTCAGCCAGCCATCCAGGCAAGTGGCAAAACAGGGGTGGGCCTGGTCCAGCATCGGAAGGATGCAACCTAGAGTGGCTGTGGCTAGGATTTAACGCCAGCTTCGTCTGATTCCAGAGCACAAAAAGCAGAGCCTGGCGTTTGAATCCGTTAGCAGAGCCTGGCGTTTGAATCCGTTAGCAGGCTCTGCTGAAAAGAGAACGGGGTCCGTGCACCTATCCCAGAAAACACGGCCCTGCAGGGTCTGCCTATGACCGCTAGTGGGCACCAGTGGGCATCAGTATTTATGGGGCTACTGAGCTTAAGAGCACTAGGAGCTCTCAATTCCAGCACGGATGTGGAAACTGAGGCTCTGAGAGGTGAAGTGACTTCCCTGTGGCCTCACGGTTTGGGGTAGGAAGGGAGGGGTTCCACATGGAGCCGGGGACCCAGCCTAGTCATTCCTCAGCTCCTCTCGAAGGTAGATTGCCACCCAGCTCACTTTGGCACGTGATATATTCAGCAAGCATCTCCTCTCTGTCCTGGGCACCCGCAGGGCCCTGGGGACCCAAACCACCCACAAGCTGGCGGAGAAGGCAGCGTGGGGAGGGACTGGGCTGGTTTCGGTGGTAAGAGCTAAGATCAGGGAACATCAGAGTAGGCAGCCCCTCTTCGAGAAGATGGGAAGGGGAGAAGCTTGAGACCCTGCACCAGGGACCCAGATATGGGACAAAAGGTTGGGAGCCCCCACACAGTGCTTTGCTGACCGTCTCCATCCCCCGGCACCAGCCTGATGGGGTACGGGTGGGACGACACCGGACAAACGCAGAAACCCTCAGGAGCTGTTGCGGGTCTGCAACATACACCACTGGGGACATGGGACAGTCAGGTGAGCCACTTGGAAGCGGGGTGACGAGCCCGTCGTTTAGCCCGTCCGAGCTTCAGGCCCTCCCTCATTCATTGAGAGGGGGTAATAATGTCTCCCTCATGGGGCCGAGGAGCCGAGAGCTACGTGAGATGGCAGAGAAGCCACGCCTGGCACACAGTAGGCGTTCAGCAGAGCCACGGCATGCCCTTTTTATCACCCTGAGATGGCCAGCTGCTTTCTAAAAGCCGCGTTCCCGGCATTTGCCTTTGCCTTTGCCCAGAATGCTTGCCTTTTGCCTAATGAGCTCCTACCCATCCTTTAATACCCAGCCCGTTATGACCTCTATGAAATCTCTACCTTTCCAGCATCTTCCAAGCAACCTTCAATAAAGGATTCATGTCCATGCATCGTGATGGCTCCTGGGTCTGAATTTTCTCTTCACCCCCATGTGGGCTGCAATCGATCCTGTATTACACAATGACTTACGGGGCAGTGATCCCCAACTAACTGCTGATATGAACAGACCCGGCAACTCCCCTCACAGAGTTAACATCGGGCGGGAGAATCAGCCGTGAATAGAGTAACCGCACACATGATGAGCGCAATGAAGGATGATTGTCCTGTGCTGAGAGATGTAACAGGAGGGTCTGACCCAGGGTAGGAGCTCGGGCAAGGCTTCGGGATGTGAAAATTGAGAGCTCTGAAGGCTGGGAGCATATCTGTTTTTGAAGTACAACTATTAATTAAAACTGTATACGCATGTGTTCTTCCCAGTGTAGTTAATAATATATAAAATACTGGTTGGTCTTTTCACATAGAAATTGAGCATAAGCTTTAGTGCTTTATTCATCTTCTTTTAACTAACTTTACTCTAAAACCGACAATTGTACATCTTAAATGTTTTTCTATTGACTTCCTACTTCACAGCCTTATTTTCATTCTTCACTACAGAATTAAATTCTATCTGGAAAAAAAAACAAAAGAGGGGGAACGAGTTGGTGGGGAACGCAAGGCGACTACCAAGGAGCAGCACGTACAAAGGCCCTGGGGTGGGCGGTGGCGCGGGCAAGGACTGAAATAAGATCGACATTGCCAGAGCAAGAAAATAAGGTGGCGACGCGGTGAGGCTGGGGACTCGCGGGCCACAGGGAAAATGCCAGTCTTTGCCGAGCTATGAGGAGCCATTGCAGGTGTTTAGTTGGAGGGTGACACAGGCAAACTCGTGTGTTGTAAGTGTCTTCTGGCTGCAGACCGGGTTTCCTGTGTCCCCAGCGCCCAGGCTAGTGCGTGTCATGGAGAACACACGCAGGGTGTGTTTGCTGAGAAGAAAGACTGCCACAGTGATCGCCCGTGTTCCCGACACAGCCGGCCCCCTCCAGAGCCCCGCCCTCCTCTGGGAGACCCGGCCGTGGGCCTGCTTCTTCACGCGAGTCTGCAAAACACGCTGCCACCTCCCCGCCCTGCCCGGATGCTCTCCCTGTTCCCCATTCTCTCCCGCTCCCACCAGTTCCTCTCAGGTGTTACTCATCCTTCTTCTAAGAACCTTCCCAGGCCACCTGTTAGTGGCCTGACTGACCGGATGAATGAATGAATGGATTTTGACTTTGATGTAACTGGCACTTACCTAATGTCTTGCAGAGCCTAGCATTGCACAGGTGACTTCACCAACACCCTAATGTCCCAGTCCTTCCAGTTAGTTCGACCATTCCATTTGATCGAAGAGAAAACTGAGGCTTCCATAGCTAGGAAGCCACTGAGCTGGGACTTGGGGACATTTGTCCACCCAGCCAGCCAGCCAGCCAGCATTTCTGAGTGTCCAAGAACTGTGCTAAGAACTGTTCCAGGGATTTGAGATACATCAGTGAAAAAATATACAAAGCTCCTTACTTTTGTGGCTGTTCCAGGCAGACAACAAACAGGAGGGGTAATAAATTAATAAGAACATTAAGTAGGGCAGGTGAGGGTGATTAGAGGTACTGGTGGTGCTTGTGGTGGTCAGGTCAGTCTCCCTGGGGAAGGGACACTCACCGCTGAGATAGTAGATTTTGTGATTCTTCTCTCCACGGTCTCTGTTGCATAATCAGCCTCTGGAGCCTCCTGATTGAGGAGATGCCCATGCACGGATGAACTTGATGATCAGCGTCAGGAAAGCCAGGTTCAAAGGCCCCCTTGAGGTGATCCAGCTTGAGTTTTCATGAAATGCAGACAGCCTTTGTGCACCTTCCGAGCATGTGGCTTTCCGAGCACACGCAGGGTGCCAGGAGGCCAGTTTCCCGTTTGTCCAGGCTGAGGTCATCCACATGGGCACACGCCGGAAGTGACAGCCTGCTTCGCTGGCAAGGGTAATCCCAGACAGGATGTCCTAGTTCCCAGCCCTGCTTTACCGTAGGCTAACGATGTGGCTTGTGCAATGATGCGGCCGCCTTTTTATCCTCGACAAGACCTTGATGCTCATAGTGGAAACGGTAGAACTGGCGCCGAAGTTTCATCCTCATTTTCATAAGTAAATGCATTCATTTAATTCACAGGTATTTACTGAGCATCTACTATGTGCCAGGCAGCATAACAGGCGTGGAAATGCCAGGCGAGAACTTGGGACTCCATGGGCAGCTTCCCTCCATCCATCCAGGTCCAGCCTGGAAAGACTAGGTCACCCTGTCAATGCTCAGGTGTGACAATAAGAATTCAAGGCCAAGGCACCCTTTCTCTTTGGGAAACATGTTCTCCATTTCCACTTTCCCAAATTTCATTCATTCCTGAACTACTTTTATGACGGTGGCTGAATCCTCATCTCTTTTGTACTATTATTTACTCAAGATTGATCTTTAACGCAATTTTTTAAAAAAGAACTTTATTTAAACTGAAAAATTAATATCAAAATCATATATAAAAACCCCCAAATCTTGCCACAAATAGAAATTAACTGTAAAAATACATAAATTCCACCAAGACTGTTGCCTGCTGCAGCCCCCAGCCTGGGGTCTGTTCTACTTAGTTCAGAAGGACAGTTAGCAGGCACACAATGTCTGTAACGGCTGCTGGCACCAGGCCCAGACATTCTCCTTGAGGAAATCAGGCAAGAACCAGAAAAGGCAGGATTTGCCACTATACAGTTGTGTGTCATGGTCAGGAAGTACCTGAGATGGTTTAGCCTATGAGCCCAGGGAAGTCACTGCCTTGACCCTTGGGGTCTGAGGCCAGGGCGGAAACAGGCATGTGACTTATGTGCCTTAAAATTGGCCTTTCTTTCTTCTGCTGCTTTTTTTAAATAAAATTTTAAATTTTGGGATAATTTTAGATTGGCAGGCAACTTGAAGACAGTACAGTCCTTCTGCATCTCCTTCGCCAAGTTTCTCCACTGTTAACATTTTATATAAGCACGAGACATTTGTCATAACTCCAAAGCTAATGCAGGTGCGTGACTGTGAACCAAACGTCATTTGGATTTCAACATTTTTCTCGCTAATACCTTTTGTCTGTTCCAGGCTCACACCCAAGATATTGAGTTACATTTAGTCGCTTTTCATTTGATGGGGGCTTCAAGAGGCTGGAAGTTGGCCGGAGGCCCTAGAGTCAGACAGGATGAAGTT